AAACCTGCAAAGTCACATGCCCCTTTTCTCAGTAGGTTAATGCAAGTTTGCTACCAGAAGATGAGGTTCACTGACAACTCACAGCAAAAACATTACCCGCCCTTTTAGAATACTTAGTAAGCTCCAGAAATTCGTCTAAGTGATCTACCTATATTAATACATAGAATCGGGGCCAGCAGGAAGCATGACACAGTTTTTACTGCAGTCCCTTCCCCATTTTCCTCTTGGGGTTTTGGGCATGCACACATACATCCCCAGCACGGTGTCAAAGCCAACTGGTCCAGGACTCAAACCAGAATCGGCCATGTCAGTTCCAGCTGGCTCAACCTCCACACCTCCTGCTGGCCTGAAAGAATTAATTCTTATCTACCATAGTTTTATTTGGATTTAGGCCAGAATTACGTTGGTGGAAATTGTACAGCAGTAAAGAGTTTTCCTTTTTATATGTTTCCTATTAATGTAGACTGTTAAAGTGTCAGTAATACCCCTTATAAAAGTTAGCAAAGGTAGCTAGTAAGAGGTCCTTCTTGTGCTGTTACTTGGGAGAAGTCTTGGGCGTAATTAGAGGCTAAGCAAGGAAATCTTGATTGTTCTTAAAGACATATACGTGTGTATGTACATAAACATGTTAAGTACATCTACCTAAAGTTCTGAATATGTTATGCCATATTAATTTATAATACTTTCTCTTTCTCAAATACTTGCTTTGTTTTTTCTAATGTTTAAGAAAAAAGGAGTTAGGGAGGGCTAGCAGGTGGCATGGTGGTTAAGGCGCTGGACATTCCCACATGGCTGACTGCTGTTCGAGTCCCAGACCTGGTGGCTTGCTTTCTCACTTTCCTTCTCTCTGTGTGTCTGTCTTTCTCTGGTCAAATTTAAATCAACGAATAAATTAAATAAAATAAGTAATTATTTTTTAAAATAAAATAATAAATTAAAAAAGGAGTTCAGGAAAATATAACTTGAACCACATATAGCTCATTTTTTTTTAAGTTTAGTTGCTATTCTCTATACAGTGATAAGTTCTCTACATTAACGTATACTAGTAAGTGTGTAAAACTGGCATGAATTCATTTTTAGAACTTGGTTCATTTTTAAATACTAAAGTTAACGCTAGTCCTGCTTACTAGATTTTAGTTTTAAAATACCTCTACAGCATTCATGTTCTTTATTATTTTTTAATCTCATTGTGGTTTTGATCTGCATCTCCGTTATGATAAGGAATGTTGAGCATTTTTTCATATGCTTTTTGGATGTTTGTATGTCTTCCTTAGAGAGCTGTCTATTCAGCTCCCTTTTCCATCCTTTAATTGGGTTAGTTTGTTTTTGTTTTTGTTTTCAGGTAAACTGCTTGAGTTACTGTGTATTCTGGTTATTAGTCCCTTATGAAGTTAGTTTACAAAAACATTCTCCCATTCTGAAGGGTTGTCAGTTCACACTAACTATTGTGTCTTTTGCTGTGCAGAAACTTCACAATATGATGTAATCCTGCTTGTCTATTTTAGAGGATGATTGCCTATGCTTTGTGGATCTTATTTAAGAAGTCTACCTACCCCATTGTCTCCCAGAGTTTCCCCAATGTTTTCCATCAGTAGTTTTATAGTTTGAGGTCTTAGGTTTAAATCTTAGATCCACTTTGAGTTGATTTTCGTTAATGATGAAAGATAGGGGTTCAGATTATTATTATTATTTTTCAATTGACCAAAGAGAGACAGAGAGAGAGAGGGAAAGTGAGAAAGCAAGCTGCCAGGTCTGGGACTCAAACCATGGTAAGCCATGTGGGAGTCCAGTGCCCTTAACCACGATGCCACCTGCCAGCCCCTACACCACTCATTTTCTACAGTGTGGGTCTTCTCATGTTTCTCACTTACTCCAAGCTGAAATCTAGATTTGGTAGTCAATGGTTTAAGGACTTTTCTTCACATGCCCACTCATCTATTTATCACTGGGAGAACAATCTAGCATTGGGTTGTACCTTGACCCCTGACTTTACACCATCTATCTGATTCTTACTGTTCAGGCTATAGAAGACAAGAACACTTAGTAGTGGAATCAAATTAGAGGAGGCCTTTGGTTTACAGCAGCAAAATAATTCAAAACACGTTCCTGTGGCTGGTTAGATGGTGCTAGAGAGGGTGTACGCCTTTTCACACCTCTCTTTCCCATTGCCGTGTTTCTAATAGGTTTATTGAATTTTGTTTGGTAAATAGTGTTTAGGAGGCCAGTAGCACAATAGTTAAACACTGTGCATATGAAGCTGGATACCATATGGCTGACCATGGTTCAAATCCTGGCCTCAGAGGGGGCGCTTTCTCTTCTCTCTCTCTCTCTGGTGAATGCATGCACCCTCTGGCAGGTAAAGAAAAAAAAGATGGCGTAAAAGGTGGTTATGTCATTAAAACTCATGCTCTTCAGAGCTGAGCTATGGAATGTATCGTGATTGCCTTTTCTTTTTCTGTCGTTGCATGACTGATGTCTTTGGAGTCTAAATACTCATAACTCCCTTCATTTGCTTTGTATTCAAATTAGTTATTACAGATTCAGCTCAAAGTCTGCCAGTTGTTTAAACTGGTTTTCAGCATGTTTGTCCCAATCAGTGACCCTTTTTTTCCTTTTTTTTTTTTTTTAAGGTTTTTGCCATAGAATATTTGTGCTCACCAGAAAGAAGGGAGACAGAGAGAGACAATGAGAGGGAAAGTGAGAAGTCACCTTCTGGGAGGGTGGCTATGCCTCAGTCCCCTCTCCTCCATTCTCCTCTTGGAATTTTGGGCATGCACACACATGTGCCTCGCGTGATTTTCAAGCCAATGGGTCCAAGACTCAAACCGCAGTCAGCCCTGTGGGAGTCTAGCTCCTTAACCACCATGCCACCCGCTGACCCCCATCAGTCATTTTATTAGTGATAGAGAGCCTGTGAGCCACTCCGGTCTGCTGCAGTTGTGTTACACAGCCGAGATGTCCTTTAACCACAATCCATTCCTTTTTTAAAAAAACTTCTTATGCTAGATCTACTTTCTGGTTCTTATTTAAATCCTTCTCCTTCTTGGTTAATACTTTAGTTTTGGTGGAGCCAATTCTCTAGTAGCTTTCTGAGAAAAGGTGCAAAAAAGCTAAATAAGTTTAGACCAGGCCAGCTAGTGATGTGGTGATTAAGGTTGCTGCATGGCTGACTGGCCCCGGCAGCTTGAGAAACACTCTAGGTGTGTGTGCACATGCTTGCCCGAAATCCCAGGAGGAGGATAGAGGAGAAGGGCTTACTGTGCGGCCATTCCCCGCGAAGGGTGATTCCTCATGTTCTTTCTCTTGTTCAGTAAGCACACGTGCCTTACTGCAAAAACTTAAAAAAAAAAAAAAAGTCTTCTTAAAAAAATTGTTTTAGTCTCACTTTATCAATAGTTCATTTGGTTATAAGAATTCTCATCCAGATTCCATTTCCCTTGGCACTTTGAAGACATTTCTCTATTGTCTTTTGGTTTCTGTAGTTGATTTTATGACGTGTGAGGACATTCTACTTCTGAATTCATTTTACACGGCTTAGCTTTCTGCCCTTTTCTGTGTATGTCTGTGTGATAGACAGAGGCGTGTTTCCCTTTGTTCTCACAGTTCGTGATTAATGAGTACGTCTTAGTGTGGGCCTACTTTCATCCATTGTGCCGGTACTCCAGGGGGTTGTGCAATCTGGAAACTATTTCTTCATTTTAAAGATAGCCTTGCATTATTTAATTGATGACTTCCTTCCACTTTTTTTCCCCTTCATCTTTTCTCTTTCTGGAGTTTCTATTATTCAGATAGTGAATTGCCTCTTCTGGTTCTCTAAAACACAACATTTTCTTTCTCATTCTTTTATCGATCACTTTGCTATTTGCTTAACTCCTTGAGAGTCTTTCTAAGCTTTATCTTCCATCCTCTGTATTGAATTTTCATTTTTGCAATATGCTTTTAACTTTTTCAAGAGATTTTTGCTATAGAGTGCGTGCCCTTGCTAAAGAGACAGAAAGCAAAAACTCACCCCACCCCGCCCCACCCCCAAGAGAATAGCTATGCCACAATTCGTTCCTTCTCCATTTTCCTCTTGGGATTTCGGCAGACATGCAGATCCAGAGTGAGTTTCAAGCTGCTGGGTACATAGTTTGCCACGTGGGAGTCCAGCACCTTAACCACTATGTCACCTGCTGGTCCCTATATGCTATTATTTATTTGTGTGTGTGTGTGGGGAGGTTTTTTGTTTGTTTGTTTGTTTGTTTTTTGTTATAGGGTGCTTGTGCTTGCCAGAAAGACAGAGAGAGACAGAAAGCGAGAAATCACTCCACAGGGGGAATGGTCACACCACAATCCCTTCTCCTCTATTCTCCTCTTGGGATCCTGGGCACATACACACATGCACCCGGCGTGAGTTTAAGCCACTGGGTCTGGGACTCAAACCGCAGGCAACCACATGGGAGTCTAGCGACATAGCCATTACGCCAACTGCTGGTCCCTATGCTATTAATTTTTAAGGGCTCTTTTTATTTGCTGCATGTTTTTAATGTGGTCACCTGTTTGAACTGCAGTTGACTATATGGGAGTCCAGCAACATAACCCTTATGCCATCAGCTGGTCCCTTTTGCTCACGCATTCTGTGGGGCATGGATTCAGTTGAGACTCGAATGACCAGGAGTGGAAGTCATTTGATGGCTTCTTCACTCGCATCTCTGGCACCTGGGCTAGGATGTCTTGCAGCTGGGTTCAACTGGAAACATTCACTGGAGTGCCGTTTACACTCTCAGAGGGGGAGCAAGAAAGTGAGAAATCCCCCGGGAGGGTGACCACACAGCAGTCCCCTCTCCATTCTCCTTCTGGGATTTTGGGCATGCCCACACATGCGCCTGGCATGATTTTTATCTCCCTGAGGATATTATTGATAGTTTTCTCTACCCCGTACAGTCTGCCTCCTTGAAACATGTGGGAACTCACAATGTAAAGAGCACATATAAATCTTTTTTTGCCTGGTCTTAATTCCCAGTAAGCAAACTCCTGCCTGACTTGACAGCTGAAGTTCTGGGAGCTGATAGAGGTAAGCTCAGTCTAGGGAAGGAGATTTCAACATTCATGTGCCTGGGCCCCCCTGTTTTCTGGGTGGGAACTGCTTTCTATTATGCCTGGTGCATTCCACCCTGGACAATCGTCTCTGCCAGGTTTGAGGTGGAGACTGAACTGCTTTGTAAACAGCTAGTAGTCCTTTCCATGGAGGCTTGCCAATAGCTTGGTGGTTAAGGGATCTGTATCCCACATGACTAACCTAACGGTTCAAATGCCAGTCCCAGCAGCTTGAAAGACATGTTGGATGTGTGTGTGCACATGCCCCAAATCCTACATAATAGGGCCATCCAGGTGGAGTGGTGGGTAAGGTGGCAGGATTCTATATGAATGATGATATCATGGTTCGAGTCGCAGACTCGGATTCGAAAATCACTCTGGGCATGTGTGCATGTGTGCTCAAAATTCTGAGAGGAAAACGGAGGTGAACAGATTGTGGTGTGGTCATCCCTCTTGGGGAATGCTTTCTCTGCCTACCCCCACCCTCCAGCACATGCACACGCCCTATAGCAAATTAGAAAACAAAACCCAATCCTGACGGAATGAAGAAATAAAGGAGACAGATGGACTAGTGGCATGACCTTGTCCCACTGAGGGGTACTTTCTCCTGTCTCTCTCTGGCATCCTTTGGCAAATAAAATAATGAATAAATATGTTAAAAAAAAATACACCCCACCACCCTCCCTTCCCTCCTGAGCCTTTTGTTTTTGTTTTGTTTCATTTTACCATAGGGTACATGTGCTTGTCAGAGAGACACAGTGAGAGGGGAAGTGAGAAATCACCCCCTAGGGGTAAATAACCACCCCTGCAATCCCTTCTCCTCTTTTCCTCCTGGGACTTTTGGGCGCACAGACCACGTGCCCAGAGTAAATTTCAAGCCACCAGGTCTGGGACTCGAACTGCAGTTGGCCACGTGGGAGTCCAGTGCCTTAACCACTGCACCACCTGCTCGTGCCCTTCCTGAGCCTTTTGAAGATCCTAAAGTGTAACTAGAGCTGGTTCTGTTTCCTGTCACCATCCTGGCATTTGTGGATCTGCTTAAGCAGTTACCGCTCATCCATCCACTTTTCCAGTGTCACTTGCCTCTTTACTCATGGTCCCTGGGGTCACTTTGTCTTCCCCACCCCACTAACATCTTCAACCACACTTGGGTAGTTATTCATTCTGTGTTGAAATTATTCTAGTGACCATATTGTCACCTGAGGGCCCTTGATAATTTCTTGTTGTCCTCTTCCTTGACTGTCTTCTTATTACTGGCAGTGTCAAAGATCAGTGTATTTTCAGTAGTTTTATAACTTTGGATTCTTTCATTTCTCATTTTTACCTTTTAAAGTCACATGCTATAAACCATCACCTTCAGCAACTGGCTTCTTTCCTCCTCATAGAAGAGTGATTTTGTTCTCTTATGTCTTCTTGGGTTGGATTTTACACTTAACCTAAATAATTTTTGGTGACTAAAAAGTTAAACTAGAATAATCTGTGCATGCTTTTATTTCCCTCTAAACTTTCTTCTCCTTTCTATTTTCCCACCTCTTCACCAAGTTTTACTTAAGAGAATGTCCTATGTCTTAAAGTTAGGGGGGTTAATTAAAATGTCTTATTTACCATGGTTATAAATTACGCAGGATCAAAGACTAAAATAGACTTGCTTCCTTACATCTTTGCCTGCTTTCTAGACACTTACCCATCTAGTTAAAAATCTAGGACCAGCGGGGCTTTCTGTTACCATTTTCAAGGTCATTTGTCTTTGTCTTTCAAGAGCTTTATTATGAAGTATGTCAATGAGGGTCTTCAAGTTTATCATCTTTGAAGCTCAGTGAACTTAGATGTGTAAAATAATTGGTTTTTTTTTTTTTTTTCAGTTTTGTAGACTATGGGGACCAGCAGTTAGCATAATGGCTATGTCGCTGGACTCCCACGTAGTCAACTGCGGTTCACCTCCCAGACTCAGTGGCTTAAAACTCATGCTGGGCGCGTGTGTGTGTGTGCCCAAGATCCCGAGAGGAGAATGGAGGAGAAGGGATTGTGGCGTGGCCATCCCCCCTGGGGGGTGATTTCTCGCTTTCTGTCTCTCTTTCTCTCTCTGTCTGGTGAGCCCCCATGCCCTATAGCAAAAACCTCTCAAAAAAAAAAGTTTTGTAGACTATGTGTTAGAGCAGTTTTTGGTTTGCAGAAAATTTGCACAGGAATTACAGGGAGTTCTTGTACTCCCTCACAGTTTCCTTCTATTACTAATATCTTGAGAAAGCACCTCAAGGGGGATGGCCACACCACAATTCCTTCTTCTTACTCTTCCTGGGATTTTAGGCATACATGCACACTCCTAACGTGATTTTCAAGTCACCGGTTCTGGGACTTGAACCCATGGTCAGCCATGTGGGAGTCCAGCACTTTTAACCACCATGCCACCTGCTGGCCCCTTCATTCACCTATTGGAAGACATCCTGACTGCTTAAAAAATTTGACAGTTAGGTTGGGCATTGGACAACAGTGAAGCAGTAAAATGCAATGCTCCGCAAAGCGGACCCACATGGAAAGGTTCCAGGTTTGAATCTGGAGACTTCCCTGAGTACACTGGGCATATGTATGTGATTCAGGGCTGAGACGGGTGTAATTACAGCCTCAAAACCCCATTGGGTGTGCTATATCTTGCTCTTGTTCTCTTTCTCTCTGTTCCTCTTGCTCATGGAAGAAATAAATAAACTTCTAAAAACATTTTGGCATGTATGAATAAAGCTGCTATAAATATTCACATGCAGGTTTTTGTGTGGGTATACATTTTCATCTCATTTGGATAAATACTAGGATTAGAATTGCTGGATTGAATGGGTAGGCTACTTTTAGCTTTCGAAGAAACCACCCAACTGTCTGCCAGAGTGCTGTGTGTTGTTTGCATTACTTGGACCTCTTTGAGTCTCTCAGATGTGCAGATTAATTTTCTAAAACAAATGTTGGAAGTTTTCAATTATTATTCAAATATTCTTTCTTCCTCTCTCTTTCTGTCTCTACTTTCCTTCTGGGTTCCTACTATACATTTGTTGATGTGCCTGATGATGTTTCACAGGTCTCTGGGGCTCTGTTTATTTTTCTAAAATTTTCTTTGTTTTGTTCCTTAAACTTGAACACTCTAATTGGCCTATCTTCATTTTCATTGATCCCTTTTCAACTTATGTCGGACCCTCCTACTCAGTTATTTAGTTCAGTAATTGTACTTTTGAATTTCAGATTTCTTTTTTTGTTGTTGTTTCTTTTTTTTTAAATTACCACAGGGTGTGTGTACTTGCCAGAAAAAGACAGAGAAAGTGCCGCCCAGTGGGACGTGATCATCCTTTCTCTTTCATTTCTCCATTCTGTCTGGGTTTTGAACATACATGCACACATGCCTGGCGTGTTTTTCTTTCTTTCTTTTTTAAAGAATTATTTATGTAATTTTATTTATTATCGTTATATTTTAATTGAACCAGACAGAGACAGAGAAACAGGAAAAGTGAGAAATCAAGCCACCAGGTCCAGGACTTATAATGTAATATGTCAACTCAGAAAATCAGACCTCCACCCAAACTTTGCCCAGGGTCTGTTGCTGCTGTTTGTTTAGTTAGTGTCTTTCCTGGATTGGTTTTCCAAGGTCTGTACTCCTTGTTATGTGAGATCACTCACTCAGTCTCTGCTCAGCTAGCTTACTGGCCTACTAATGATTGGGCAGAGATTTTCTTCAATTCCTTGAGCTAATAAGGGGCTGAAATTGTTTAACAGCATATTTTTATTTAGTGTTTTCATGTTTTAGTGGTAGATAGTCTTAATATTTGAACAGAATCTCCCTATGTTTGCTTTCTAAAAAATGTTTGGAGTGGGATGGTGGTCAAGATGGTTGCAAGAAGATGGGATGAGAGGCTAGTTGAGTTGCAGGATTGTTCTTTTTTTTTTAAATGAGAGAGGTTTTTGGTATAGGGCGCATACTCTTGCCAGAAAGACAGAGACAGAGAGACAGAAAGTGAGAAATCACCGCCTGGGGGGATGGCCATGCATCAATTCCTTCTCTTCCATTCTTCTCTCGGGATCTTGGGCACGCACGCACACACGCCCAGCGTGAGTTTAAGCCACTGGGTCCTGGCCTCAAACTGCAGTCAACTACATGGGAGTCCAGTGACATAGCCGTTACGCCAACTGCTGGTCCCGCAGGATTGTTCTTAATAAACCAGCGAACACTGGGAATCCTCCCAGTGAGATAGCACAGGTCAGATTTTCCCATCACATTGGAACATTAAACTGTTCCTTGGCACACGTTTTGGAAAATGTTACCAGAGCTTTTATTCCAAAATCTTAACCTGTGTTTCAGGATATTTCCAAATCTTTAGCTGTCCACAAACATAGCATTTGGAAAGTATCTAAGACTAGAAAGCAAGACATTTTGGGAGAAAAATTAATCAGCCATAATTTTGAGAAATAAGTAAAATACGTAGGATTAATTCAACAGTATGCTTTCTGAGTGTATGTATACCATATGTGCATTTATGTATCTTCACACATTTCCTTTTTTATTTCACAGATTTTTGTAGAAAGCCTCATGGGGCCTATCACCTTTGCTGGCTGCCTGGTCCACTTAAGAAACCCAGCAGCATGAGAACTATTTCGAATGGACACAGGATGTTACCTGCAGTCACACTAAATGTTCCAGACTTTTCTTACCTCTAAATGGTAAAAACGTCTAACTACTACTCTTTTTTTTTCTTTCTTTCTTTTTTTAATTTGTCAGAGGCTACATGCAATCATTGGATACAGACACAGAGAGAAAGAAAGCCAGAAAGCACCCCCCACCCCCATGAGGCACAGTCATGCCATAACCTCTTTTCTCCCATCTCTTACTTCTGTCAGGATTTCACACACATGCCCACACCCCCGGTGCGTTTTTCAGACCACCAAGTCCAGACCTTGAACCGTGTAGTCAACCAAGTAGGATCTAGCTGCCTTCCTACCACATCACTGACTGGCCCGTGAATACTTTTCTTAACATTATTCCATGCTAATAATGGTCCATTGTTTATTTGTATTGATATTGTTAACATTTAAGTTATTTCCTAATGAAATATTGAAAAGTTTCAGTGTTCATTCTTCAACTATGTTTTTGTACCTCAACAAACATGAGAGGTAAACGGTTTATTGTAAGGCCACCCCAGTAGCCTAATGGTTGAGGGATCTGGATCCTGCATGGCACATGGCAGACCATGTGGATCAAGTCCTGGCCCAGTGACTCAGGAAACATGCCCAGGGTCCAACAGGGTGGAAGTAGAAGGGAAGCGATTGGGGTGTGACCATGCCTTGTGGGGGATGCCTTCTCCCTCTCCCTCTGTCTCTGGTGAGTGCACATGCCTTTTCACATCCCCCTCCCCAAAAGTATCTTAGAATACTCTAGCGTATCTGTGTATTAGACGTTGGTCCTCCCACTCTCCAACCTGGCATTAATACTGTGGGTTTCCTGGAACACCGCCGTGGTGCCCCTGATTAACCCACTTTGTGTTTGTTCTCAACATCGGGCCTCATAGCAAAGAGCACAGTTCCTGAGGCTGAGAAGAGACTGGCAAAGACTGCATTTATCGATCTCATTTCTGTTTTTCATTTTAGCGTTGTCCTCCATCTCATGAAGCCTCAACCTTCCTGATAAATAGAAACTGACCACTCTCAAGCCTCTACGGGGAATCCTTGGCACGTGGAGCCTGGAAGACTGCCCTTAACAGTCTTTAAGGAAAGCCCCTGATAATTGTTTGAAATGCTGAGAAAGTTGCTGTGGAGGAGACTTTTTTCTTGTCCCACTAAATACTTCTTGATGATTCTTGTTTTTTCCCTTGTCACCTTCTCTGTTTTAAGGATTCATCAAAAACTCGAGTTTATAAGCATCAGACACCTGGAGCTTGTTGAAGAGAATCCCAGTAGTAACATTAATTGCACCAAAGTTTTACAGGGTGATGCAGACGAACTCCAGAAGGTAAAGCTTGAGACAATAACCGTGAAATTTAGAAAGCGCCCTCGATGGACGACCTATGACTATATAAACATGACCTCGGATTGCCCTTCTTTCATCAAGAGGCGCAAATATATTGTAGAACCCCTTAGTGAAGAAGAGGCGGAGTTTCCGATCGCATATTCTATCGTGGTTCATCACAAAATTGAAATGCTTGACAGGCTCCTGAGGGCCATCTACATGCCTCAGAATTTCTATTGCATTCACGTGGACAGAAAGTCAGAGGAGTCCTTCTTAGCTGCGGTGACCAGCATCGCGTCCTGTTTCCATAACGTCTTCGTGGCCAGTCAGTTGGAGAGTGTGGTTTATGCATCGTGGAGTCGAGTTCAGGCCGATCTCAACTGCATGAAAGACCTCTACCGAATGAGTACACACTGGAAGTACTTGATCAATCTCTGTGGTCAGGATTTTCCTATTAAAACCAACCTGGAAATTGTCAGGAAGCTCAAATCGTTAATGGGTGAAAACAACCTGGAAACCGAGAGGATGCCATCCAATAAGGAAGAAAGATGGAAAAAGCATTACGCAGTCGTGAATGGGAAACTGACCAACACGGGGACCGTCAAAATGCGTCCTCCGCTGGAAACGCCCATTTTCTCAGGCAGTGCCTACTTCGTGGTCAGTAGGGGATATGTGGGGTATGTGCTAGAAAATGAAAAGATCCAAAAGTTCATGGCGTGGGCACAAGACACCTACAGCCCAGATGAATACGTCTGGGCCACAATCCAGAGGATCCCCGAAGTGCCAGGCTCAGTGTCCGTAAGCCATAAGTATGACTTGTCCGACATGCACGCGGTGGCGAGGCTGGTCAAGTGGCAGTACTTTGAAGGTGATGTTTCCAAGGGCGCCCCCTACCCGCCTTGCAGTGGGGTGCACGTCCGCTCCGTGTGCATTTTCGGAGCTGGCGATTTGAGCTGGATGCTACGCCGGCACCACCTGTTTGCCAATAAGTTTGACGTGGATATCGACCACTTTGCCATCCAGTGTTTAGATGAGCACCTGAGGCATAAAGCTTTGGAGACATTAAGACACTGACCACCGTAGGCAATTTTAAGAATAATAAGGATGCGCAAAATGCACCCCCCCTGGCTCCTCTGCCTTCTCAATAAGCATTGGAAAAGTCATATGGGGTCCCCCTTGGGGCAGGGACTCTGAGTTTTCCTGTCAGAGAAGATGTGGGCATCTACAGAGCACGATGGACCGGAAAGCTGCCAGCCCTGAATGGTTGCCGAGAGTTAGTGTGGTGGGGGGAGTTAAAGTCGCCCCCCAGTGGTGGGTAGTGAGGCAGGAGAGAGGGGGATGGGGTGGCCAGGGAAGAGTGTGGTGCAAAACTCAGTTTGTTAAAAAAAACTCAGGGACTTAGCAAAATGAGATTTGATGCGTGCCAAAATTATTTTGATAATCTTAAATGTGATCATTTTCCTGATGTGAACATTTATAGCAACAGACAATCAGAAGGGTACAATTTACCTTGTATATTATATTTGTGGAAATAGAAATTTGATTGTACTCTGGACAATCCTTGTACATAGTTTCTGTTGTGATGGCGTGTCCTGTAGTATGTCTCTATTATCTCAGGGAGCTTAAAACAGGCTTGACTTAAAATTCATTTTTTTCTGTCTTATTTTTACTGATAATAATGCACATGTTTTCAAAAACAAAAAATGGCTACTTTCAGCTTAGTTGATTTCTACGAATCATCTTAGATATTAGAAAAGATATTTTGCTCTCTCTCTCTTTATATTTATTCACTTATTTATCTATTTATTTGTTGTGATTTATCACGCCACCGGGTCTGGGAGTGAAACCAGTCGACCAAGTAGGAATCCGTTGCCCCAACCACCATGCCACCTGCTGGCCCAATATCTCTCTTTTTTATTGTAGTTTCTACACGAAGTAGCACTCAGTTTTTCCAAATATCTGTCTCTATCCTTTTCCCACACTATCCCTGACCTTACTACCAAGCTGTGTAAATGTCCTGTCAGGGGGACCTGTGTTACTGCCCCAGTTCTGATGGTCAGTAATGAGTACGCAGAAGTAGGATGCTGAAGTAGGTTTGCAGGGAGGAAGAAAAGGAATCCATTTAGACAGTTTCTGAGGCCATGAGGAGTTTTCAAAACCAGCTCTTGACACTATCCCAGGAAATGAAGACTGTTGCTCTTTAAATCTACTTGGGTCTGACCTCACGGAGTCAATGAATCCTGATGTCACGTGTGCCTTGATTCAAAAGGACCTAGCCCTTGTCCTGTGTCTTCATAGTTGGTTTCTTATCCCATTGTTTGTAAGTTTCTTCTTCTTGTGAATTTTTTTATTTTTTCTTTTTTCTCCTTTTCCTTTTTCTTTAAATTTTCCAGAGGGTACTCTCTGGACAGAGAAAGAGAGGGAAAAAAGCACCCTCCCTGCCATGGGTGATGGTCACGCCGTAATCTTTTCTCCTTCATTACTCCTTCCTGGGTTTGGGGCATGCACACACACGTGGCCTGTGTGTTTCTCAAGTCACCAGGTCTAGGTCTAGGGCTGGCGCTGCACAGTTGGCCTCAGGGGCTCCAGCCGCCTTAACCACCAGTCCACGAACTGGCCCCCTCATGTAACCCTGTGAGGAAGGAAGAGGGTGCTGCTGTCCCCATGGTGTTAGAAGGCCTGGCAGGGAACTTCAGGTTTGGGACAGAGTTGTTTCAGTGCTGGTACTGTTCGCAGCACATGGGTTCTACTCTCTCTCTTTTCACAAAAAACACATGATTTGGGGTTGTGTAGAGCTGGCTCACATCTCAAAGTAAATGAAGACTTTTAAAAATTATTATTTTGCCAAGTTAATATTGTTCACCCAAAGATCAAACTGGAATTGTGGAGCTCTGTCTTTTGGCACAAAACTTTACACAGGGATTGAAACCATGTCAGCCTAAGTGTCCGAAAGCCATAAGTATGACTTGTCCGACATGCACGCGGTGGCGAGGCTGGTCAAGTGGCAGTACTTTGAAGGTGATGTTTCCAAGGGCGCCCCCTACCCGCCTTGCAGTGGGGTGCACGTCCGCTCCGTGTGCATTTTCGGAGCTGGCGATTTGAGCTGGATGCTACGCCGGCACCACCTGTTTGCCAATAAGTTTGACGTGGATATCGACCACTTTGCCATCCAGTGTTTAGATGAGCACCTGAGGCATAAAGCTTTGGAGACATTAAGACACTGACCACCGTAGGCAATTTTAAGAATAATAAGGATGCGCAAAATGCACCCCCCCTGGCTCCTCTGCCTTCTCAATAAGCATTGGAAAAGTCATATGGGGTCCCCCTTGGGGCAGGGACTCTGAGTTTTCCTGTCAGAGAAGATGTGGGCATCTACAGAGCACGATGGACCGGAAAGCTGCCAGCCCTGAATGGTTGCCGAGAGTTAGTGTGGTGGGGGGAGTTAAAGTCGCCCCCCAGTGGTGGGTAGTGAGGCAGGAGAGAGGGGGATGGGGTGGCCAGGGAAGAGTGTGGTGCAAAACTCAGTTTGTTAAAAAAAACTCAGGGACTTAGCAAAATGAGATTTGATGCGTGCCAAAATTATTTTGATAATCTTAAATGTGATCATTTTCCTGATGTGAACATTTATAGCAACAGACAATCAGAAGGGTACAATTTACCTTGTATATTATATTTGTGGAAATAGAAATTTGATTGTACTCTGGACAATCCTTGTACATAGTTTCTGTTGTGATGGCGTGTCCTGTAGTATGTCTCTATTATCTCAGGGAGCTTAAAACAGGCTTGACTTAAAATTCATTTTTTTCTGTCTTATTTTTACTGATAATAATGCACATGTTTTCAAAAACAAAAAATGGCTACTTTCAGCTTAGTTGATTTCTACGAATCATCTTAGATATTAGAAAAGATATTTTGCTCTCTCTCTCTTTATATTTATTCACTTATTTATCTATTTATTTGTTGTGATTTATCACGCCACCGGGTCTGGGAGTGAAACCAGTCGACCAAGTAGGAATCCGTTGCCCCAACCACCATGCCACCTGCTGGCCCAATATCTCTCTTTTTTATTGTAGTTTCTACACGAAGTAGCACTCAGTTTTTCCAAATATCTGTCTCTATCCTTTTCCCACACTATCCCTGACCTTACTACCAAGCTGTGTAAATGTCCTGTCAGGGGGACCTGTGTTACTGCCCCAGTTCTGATGGTCAGTAATGAGTACGCAGAAGTAGGATGCTGAAGTAGGTTTGCAGGGAGGAAGAAAAGGAATCCATTTAGACAGTTTCTGAGGCCATGAGGAGTTTTCAAAACCAGCTCTTGACACTATCCCAGGAAATGAAGACTGTTGCTCTTTAAATCTACTTGGGTCTGACCTCACGGAGTCAATGAATCCTGATGTCACGTGTGCCTTGATTCAAAAGGACCTAGCCCTTGTCCTGTGTCTTCATAGTTGGTTTCTTATCCCATTGTTTGTAAGTTTCTTCTTCTTGTGAATTTTTTTATTTTTTCTTTTTTCTCCTTTTCCTTTTTCTTTAAATTTTCCAGAGGGTACTCTCTGGACAGAGAAAGAGAGGGAAAAAAGCACCCTCCCTGCCATGGGTGATGGTCACGCCGTAATCTTTTCTCCTTCATTACTCCTTCCTGGGTTTGGGGCATGCACACACACGTGGCCTGTGTGTTTCTCAAGTCACCAGGTCTAGGTCTAGGGCTGGCGCTGCACAGTTGGCCTCAGGGGCTCCAGCCGCCTTAACCACCAGTCCACGAACTGGCCCCCTCATGTAACCCTGTGAGGAAGGAAGAGGGTGCTGCTGTCCCCATGGTGTTAGAAGGCCTGGCAGGGAACTTCAGGTTTGGGACAGAGTTGTTTCAGTGCTGGTACTGTTCGCAGCACATGGGTTCTACTCTCTCTCTTTTCACAAAAAACACATGATTTGGGGTTGTGTAGAGCTGGCTCACATCTCAAAGTAAATGAAGACTTTTAAAAATTATTATTTTGCCAAGTTAATATTGTTCACCCAAAGATCAAACTGGAATTGTGGAGCTCTGTCTTTTGGCACAAAACTTTACACAGGGATTGAAACCATGTACAAACACTCCTTGACTGATGATGGGGTCACATCCCGATAACCCATAAGTTGAAAATATCAAGTGTAAAATGAATTTAGGGCCTGCTTTGTGACTCAGTGGTAAGGTGCTACTCAAGAGAAGCCAGATCCTGCATGGCGACCACAGTTGAATCTCCAGCCTGGTCCGCTCAAAACATATCAGGCTACACGCATGCAGATGCAACAGGCTGGAGGATGGAAGAGGACTGTATTGTGGACGGACCCCAGAGAGGGTTCTCCTCTCCTTACAACATGCATATACACCTGCTCTAGCACGAATTTAAAAATGTTTCAAATGCATCTCATATACTTAACCTACTAAACATTATAGTTTAGCCTAGTCTACCTTAAACATATCCACAAACACAGTAGCCTACAATTGTGCAAAAATCAAACACGGGCTGGCAGGAGGTGTGGTGATTGAAGCACTGGACTTCCACATGGCTGACTATAGTTCGAGTCCTGGGCCTGGAAGCTTGCTTTCGCACTTTCCCTCTCTTTTTGTGTGTCTCTCTGGTCACATTAAAAAAAATAATAACAAAAAATGAAATAAAATAATTATTTAAAAAATCTTGAACACAAAGCTTATTTTATAATAAAATGTCAAATACTTTGTGTAACTTATAGTAATGAAAGTGAAAAGCAGAATGCAATCCTTGTTTTTAAAAAAGAAAAGAAAAAATTGCCAGAGGGCTCATGCATTCCATCAGAGCAAGAGAGAGGACAGGAAAGGAAGCAAGAAAGCACAGACTCACCATGGAGTATGAACAGGCTGCAGCCCCTTGTCTATTTCTCCCACCTTTAGGGATTCGGGACATGCATGCACACACACGTGCCCTGCATACTTCCCAAGCCTCCAGTTCCAGAACCCAAACCTCTGTCTGCCATGTTGGATCCAATCCCCTTAACCACCATGTCCTAAGCTGGCCCAATATGCGCTGCTTTTAGCAAAGAGGTTTTTACCTATAAGATGGGTCACATTCTTACTCTAAAACCACTGTGGCTCAGTGATGTAAGTTGTGTGTGTCTCATAGCAACACTCCCATTTTTTATTTTGAACATGCGCAAATCTAAGGAAAAGTTAAAACAATACTACATTGAGCCCCGTCTGGCCCTTTCCTGGAATGAGTCACCAGTTGTTAACATCATGCCCCATGTACTTACACTGTATGAATTTTGGAATTTGGCTAAATGGGAAATTGTGTTTAATTACATGGATACAAAGTTACTCATCTCAGCACATACTGTAGGGTGACTGCATCTGATTTATAATACATTTACACTGGCAGGTTCTGAGGGAGATTTTCTTAATGAAAGATATACAAATAGGATTTTGGAGTCCATTTCCCCCAGCCCCTCGTTAAAACTGAGAGTCTACTTTCCTACCTGAAGCTGTGGCATCTTCTAGAATGGCCCTGGTTGAGATGTGTCTGAACACTACCTCGTCTGTAATGCCCATCACAGGGACTGTACAGGATTTGCCCGTTGAGACTTAATATTTTCCAACTTTTTAATATAACTTGAAATGAAATTGATACTACTGGGGTAAGAAAATTAAAAAAAAAAAAAAGATAGTTTGACAAATAAGTCCAGGGGGCCAGGAGGTGTTATAGTGGTTAAGGTGCTGGACCCCACAGGGCCGACCGACCACTGATCAAGTTCCGAACCTGGTGGCTTCAAGCTCATGCCTGGTCCATGTGTGTGTGTGCCCAGAATCCCAGGAGGAGAAGTGGTTGCAGCATGGCCATCCCCCCAGGGGGTGATTTCTCACTGCCTCTGTCTGTCTCTGGTGAGTGCATGTACCCTATAGAAAAAATGTCTAGAAAAAAAAAAGTCAGTCCAGGGCCCAGTCACCGTGGCACAGTAGTAATGCAGGTTCCCAGCAAGGCTGGAAGCAGTGCGACTGACTGCGAGTTCAGATACTGAGGTCAGTGTGTGTGCTGGCACCCGGGATCCCAAGGACCTGGAGAAAGGGGCTCGGGGTGTGACAAGACCCTGTTGGCGGTTCTCTTTTCTTTCCCTCACCCCTCCCTCCTCTCTCTCTCGCTTGTACATGTTCTCACAGAAAAAAAAAAAATGCATTCAGAAGGGGCAAAACCCTGGTTTTGGAAGAAAAATTATTTAAATTATACATACATGCTTGTTATTAAACACTAATTTCTTTGTACTGTCATTTAAGGTCTTTTACAGGGAATTTTTAGAAATCACATTCACACAGAATAAGTCCTTAAACATATGTAAAGAAATTCTGTGATGGAAAGGTTCTAGTTAATGTGTACTGAGTACATGAAGGTTTACATGTTGCTTATTACGAACAAGGGATAACAGAAACCGTCCTTTATTGTGTAGGCGGTTACGTGGGCTTTTCCTAGACCCTGGTAAACAGCCATTCAGACTTGAAACTGTGGATGGGCCAGTATCAGTTCTAAACCTGTGTTTGTATCATTTTCAGTTCACTTAAATGAAATCACATGGATTTTTTTTCCCTGTAGTGATTTTGGTAGGAAGAAATCATGTTTTAGTTCATTTCTTCTGTATGTTTAATTGAACTTTTGTAGTAACTTATAAAAATAAAAATCAATCTTCGTTATGTTAAATATAAAACGCATGCAACACTATTTCATCGTAAACATAAATACCGTAAGTTTACTCTTGGAATGTGGGTTAGTATGTGGGTATGAAAGTAGTTAGAAGGTATCATATTACCATTAAAGTCAGTTTTTCAGGAATGAGTGCCTGGTCTGTGCCAATTAGTCCTCTTTAGTTAGCTTCCAGATCACAAATGTTAAATTGAGTAGTTGATGTGGTACTTCGTAACAA